TCCATTAAAATCTATAGATCAATATAGGAATAATTGCTAACTTAACAAAATTGAATCATACCAAATCACCTATTAGTTCTAGGAGTTTCTTTTGTAGATTACTTGGGATTTTCTTTGTAGACAGATATGTCATCTGTGATAAATGAGAATTTTATTTCTTCCTTTCCCATCAATATGACTTTTGTTTATTTCTTTTATTGTACTTTATAATGTCTGTTCAGAACAGTGAGAATGGAGATGTTGCCTTGCTCCAGTCCTAGGGAGTAAGCACTCTATTTTTTACCACTAAGTATGCTGCTGACAATAGACTTTGATCGTCCATTTTTAGATGTTCATTGTCAAATTAAAGAATTTCTTTTCTCTTCCTAGTTTCTTGAGAGGTTTTAACAATAGATGTTAAATTTTTCAGATCAACTTATATGATCATGTGAATTTTCTTCTTTAGCCTGATAACATGGTAAATTACATCTGTTGACTATCAAATGTTGAACCAAACTTGCATTCCCAAAATAAATTTTTGGTGGTGTGGTGGTGGTGGTATATTATTTTTTACTGTATTTTTGGTTTAATTTTCTAAGATTGAGGATTTTGTGTATATATTCATAAAAGGTGTTGGTCTGTACTGCTCTTTTCTTTCCCTTTAAATACTTATTTTTTTCAATTTATGCATACAAGTACTGGGGTATAGGCCTGAGGTACGGAGTCTGGGGACGGGGGACCATGATGAGAGAGAACAAGGGGATCTACTGAAATATACTGCTGAGGGGAGCAGTGGGTGAGCTAGGAGAGGTCTGCCACACCATGTCAGTTAGCTCCCAGCTGAGGATCAAACTCAAGCTGCAGTAACTGGTGATAGCTTGATAGCATGGAGACATTAACCACTGAACCCTCAGGGAGGCCCTGAACGGTTCTTTGCCTAATTTTGGTATCAGATAATGCTGGCATCATAAAATAGGTTATAAAATATTCACTACTCTTCTATTTTCTTAAGGATCTTGTTAAAAATCAATGCTATTTCTTGAATTTGACAGGGAAACCATCTAAGTCTGGCTTTTTGCACTTGTTTGTGTTTTGTTTTCTTTCTTCCTGAAAGATCCCGAACTACCAATTTAGTTTTAAAAAATACATATAGGGATATTCAAGTTGTATCCCTTGGGTGAGATTTGGTGACAGTAGCTTTCAAGCAACTGTTCCATTGTATATGAATATAGAATTTATGTTACAGATTTATCGTATTTCCTTTTTCATTATTTTAATACATGTGTGTTCTATGTTGATATCACCCATTCATTCCTGATATTGGTATCTTGATTCCTGACTTTTGTGTTACCTCCTTTGTTGTTGTTGTTGTCACTTGTAAGAGATGTATCACTCTTGGCCCTCCCTGGTGGCGCAGCGGGTTAAAGCACAGCACTAAGAAGCTTAAGCCAATTCCTCATAAGTTCAATCCCCACCTGCCCCGGAGGAGATCCACATGGCGTGGCAGACCTCTCCTGACCTGCCCGCTGCTCCCCTCAGCAGTGTACTTCGTCGATCTGCCTGTTATGCTCCCCACTCAGTTCCTGTTGAATCCTCTCACCCTCCACATCTCTGGCCTGTACCCCAGTTCTGTATGAGTAAATAAATAAATCTTAAAAAAAAAAAAGATATATTACTCTTACTGATCTTTTTAAACAATCAATTTTTTTTTAATTGATGATTTTCTCATTTCTTCAAAAAAATTTTTCTGCATTGCAGTATTTCTCCTCTCTTTCTGGGTCTTCAGTGATGTAGATATTACACCTTTAGGAATTATCTCACTGTCCCTAAACCTCTGTTCACAGTTTCTCTGTGTCATTTGTGTTGAAAAATTTATATTGCTTTATCTGCAAGTTTGCTAACTCTTTTCTTTGTCATTTCTATTCTGCTGTTGAGCATATCCAGAGACTTTTCAGACTTCTATGTTTTTGAGTTCTAAAACTTGCTGATAGTTTGTGTCTTTCCATTTATTTCAAGATTATTTGCCCTCTCTTCTTATAGCATGGTTATCTTGGCTGTTGTAAAGTCTTTGTCTGAAAACTCCAAATCAGTATCATCATGGGGCAAACATCTGTTGTTTATTGTTTTCAAGTTATGGTCATTCTGAGTCTTCCTATGACAAGTAATTTGGGATTGTAGATCTTACAACACATATATCTACCTTACATATGCATGACCCAGTCTGGGCATTAGTCTACCCCATAGTTAAGTTCTTAATGGCCATGATGTGATGTCTAGGGTAGAACACACACATGCTTAACTCAGAAATGACCACAAAAGTTTGTCCATAACTTTCTGGAATAGCTTTCTTGAACGCCTTCCTCTTCACAACACACTCTCCAGTTCTTTGACCCTACGCCTGGAGCTTTCATTTCCCAATTCTGCCAGGTACTTCTCACAACTATTGGCATTAAAAACCAATCAACCAGCAGAGGACAGAATGAGAAAGAGAGAGAGTATTGGTTCCCACACTCTTGGGATCATAGCATTTATAGTTATGGTCCTTTAAAGACTTAGATGCATCCCTGGCCATCAGCATCACTGCTGCATTGCTACCAATAGAATTTCCTAGGTGCTCAATTGGAAGGGAAAAAAGGTGGAAAAGGCTGGTCAATGCATGTATTTTCTGACTCTCTATGACTCTTCTAGTTTCCCTCTCTCACATCACAGGCCTGAAGAAAGGGCTTCCCTTGAGCATTTCTTCCCTGCATGCATTTCTCACTTCTGGGGCTGGGGCTACCTTGAGTCCAGTCTAGGTAAACCATAGCGGGAGGGCAATGAAAAACACATTTCCAAATTGCTGATGCTTTAAATTCTAATCTTCCCCAATTTGCCTTCCATCATTTGCTTTACAGAGTTCTCAGAGAAATTACCCCGTGATTCCTTCCAAGATTTATAGTTTCATTCAGTGGGAGAGACAAGTGGAATGTGTTTACTCTATCTCGCTCAAATCTGTCTGCTGATGGTTCTCTTATTTTTAAACACTATTTACTTGCATATTCAAAAGAGAGTTTTAAGGCCAACTGTGTTTTGTTGCTCAAACATCTGTCATGAAGTGATGCGCCCTCTCTTGACAGCATCTGACTAAGCATACCCCCTCTTGTTCCATTGCAGGGACTCAGCTGACTGTGGAGGTCCACCCTCGAGACACCATGCCTCAGTTGCTTAAGAAGTTCTCCTTGGCTAAATGTATGTGCATACAGGGCCACTCACATGTGGAGGGCTGGCAGGGAGGACTGAAGGCAGCTAATGGGACAGAGCCCAGTTCAGTCCTGGAAGTTTCTGGGGAAAGAAGATGAGTGACTTGAGTCTCGACAGGAGACAGAAGCATGAAATTTCATCCTGGGGGCCTGTCGCCTCCACACCCAACTACTACAGTTCTTAAGTCTCTGTGATTAGACGCAAACAACACAGACCTTTTGCTAAAGAAGAATTTTGTGAAGGAAATGTTATTGCTTTGGGATACCATTCAGAACTGCCTAAAAAGTGGCATACATAGTACTTGTTAACCCTTTGTTGTATACCAGTATTATCCCTACTTTTTAAGATAGCAAAGTGAGGCTCAGAGTAAAGTAACTACCTAAGCCATCCACGTTGGAGGCAAGTTCAGAGTTCAGATTCCTCTGAAACCTGTGCCCAATAACTTGTGTGTGCAGCTACCTTCTGTGCAGTGCACACAGACCCAGGCCACCACATTCCTCCTCTTCCTTCTCACCCTCTTTCTGTATCTGTCCTTCATGTGGATAACAGTCTGGGGAAAATACAGTCTAAAATACAGGGTCTGCAGAATATCCAGGGCTCAGTCTCCTTCCATGTCCACTCAGTGAGACTTGCAGGCCCCCCAACTCTGCCTGGTCCTACAGTCAGGATCTCAGGGCAACAGTGAGATGTCGAGAGGGGTGCCCTGCAGGTCTACTGACTGCATTCAGATCCTCAGTTCTAGCATCTTAGCCTCTCTTTCCGCCTCAATGCCCTTGTCTATAAGTGGAAGGAAATAATTCAGCATTCCTCAGAGGGTTGTTGTGAGATTAAATGAGATGTGAGTATAAAGCACAAGTCAGTTATAGTAAGCACACATAAGTGCTAGCTTCTATTTTGAACCCCACTATCAAAAAATGTAGATGGAATCAAAATGTAGAAGCAAGAAACTAAAGCGCCAATGTTCCTCAGAATGGCCTATTTACCTTTGAAAACTTCCACCGGTTAATAGCTTATATTGGCCTTCAATGACGTCAAACAGCCTGCATTAACGCACCTACCAGCTCCTCCTGCTCCATCAGAGAGCTCATCTTCCCGACCTGGAAGGGGGAAGTTCCTTTGCTATTTCCCTGGAACCTAATAACTAAGTAACTATTGGTAATCATCCTTCCTTAACAGTCCTGAGTTGATAGGATTCAGTTGCCCTTGAACCACCCAAGGAACAATTTAATAATCATTTGACATCTGGGTTTCAAGCTCCGAAAAACTGCCTCCCCTTCTGCCATTTTCCTGTTGTCCGTGGTGGCTTCTTATCCTGGGGCTGCTTAGCAGTGAATCTGATAATGCTTTGGGCATCCCCATTGGTGTTCCAAGATGGCAGGAGAGCCTAGAGGAGGCAGGCAGGAGTGGCGGGCTCCACGCAGGCCCCCTAAACAACCAAAGTGCCCTGTGCGAATTGTGCTTCTGCCCAACAGCTGCAGTTCTCTTTCCTATCGCCCCCTCCCTGGTCTCCAGTCCTCTCTGCTGCACAGAAGACCAGGAGACCAGGGCAATTCTAGTGGCGGTTCAGTGGTGGGTGAGGATGGGCTACAGCACTGTGAGCAGGAGAGTGACAGAAGGGGTCAGAAGCAGAGACACCACAAAGAATCATCCGCACTTGCATTTCTGTTTCTTCTGAACTTTGGGATGTTGTAGGTTTACAAGGCGATAAAAATGGAAATACAAGACCCCGGCAGCCTGGAGGGAAGGACGCCCACGGTAAGTCTAGGGCCTTCTTGGGGCTGCTCTCTCAGAGGTGGGCTTGACTGAGACTCAGGGGCCAGGCCCCAGGCCATCGGGAATGGCTCCCTGGGGCACAGTGCTGAGGGTCTGAGCCACCCTGGGCTCGGGGAGAGGCATATTGTGATTGATTGGCAATGCCTACCCTGGACACCACGGAGAGTGAAAAGCTCCCCATCAGCCGTGCCCCTGAAATTGTGAAACCCATCAATAATAGCAAGGCAGCCTCTTGCGGGAAACATGTTAAAATATAATTCAGAATAGTATTTTGACTTTAAATGAAATTTCGGACATCTGCAAGCTAGGAGGCATGTGGTAAGCGGAGCAGGGCAGAGGAAGAAAAAGAAAAACCTCAAATGGGACACTGGAGGGCCTGGGCTCAAATCCTACTTCTGCCCCTTCCTGCCCTGGGTCTCGGTGTCTCCCTCCCTACACCACATGGCATCTAAGGCTCTGTGGTCCGCACTGCTCCCCATTGTTTTGCTTTAAAATTAGAACAATTTAGTTAATGCCACTGACATTTTCAATGTATTTATACAAAGTCACATTTGGACCTTATATAACCTGGTCAGAAGGTAAACGCATGAGGCATAAATCATTATGGAATATTTTTAATATTCAGATATTATAAAATAGAACCAAGAAAGGGTACAGCTTGCTCTGGAGTTTTTAGTCCCCTTTTAGCAATGCCAACCTCTTGGAAATGGGGGCAGAGGCAGCCTCATTTGCAGAACTGTGCTGAACAGAAACTTATTAAATGTAAGTCCACTTGAGATCCACTTACATCACCCTGATAGCCCTTGTAAGAGAATGCAGGAGCCAGAGTCTGTCGTGGAGAAGGGGGGTGGGGAGAGGGAGGAGAGGTTGGGGTGTGGGCAGAAGAGAGGGCCCTGGCAACTAGGAAGCTCAGCCTGACCTGCTGTCGTGTCCCCTCTCCCCCAGAGGGCCAGACAAAGCTCAGAACTCCCAGGATCGGGACTGATGTCTGTCTAAGCAACGGGCAGTAGACCTCTCAGCTCATACCTCTAGCCCGTGAGCTACAGCGGTGCTAGCTTCAAGGAAGCTCCAGCAGGAGACTGTTCAAAACAGGACTTGGTGGGATCCAGGAAATTTCTTGCTCCTGGTAGAGGAATAGAAAAAATAGAAAGAAAATGTTAGGTTGCTGGACAGGTCCTGAATGTATCAACACAGGGACATGGCAAGAGCCCCAGCAGTGGCTTGAGCTGAAAGGCGGCTGCTGCAGTGTGTCAGAGGTGCAGGAGTGACAGAGCTGGGTAGCTGGCCTTGACCAGGCTGAGACTGAGCAGGAACGCCAGACAGTGTGGTCTCCTCCCTCAGACAGTGTCTATGGCCAGACAGTGGCCAGTTCCCTAGTGAGCCCATCCAGTCCCGGCCCAAGAGGGTGGTGGGGCGACTAAGAGCCAACTGCTAGTGACACCCTCCTGCTCTCTCACTTGGGTCTGTAGCCCGAGTTAAAGGACGCTCACAGTTCAGGGGGTGCTGAGGAATGTGAGCAAATGCAGCTGCAAGGCTCTGCTTGCCTGTAGAAGACCCCCACTCAGCACCCCCCAGAAAGCAGAGTGGCCTTGGCCTTACCATGTGGCCAGCCACTTCATTCTTTCTCCCAAAGTGCCATGAGTGTGTGCCTGAGAGCACTGACTGGTCCAGCAGCCGACAGAGAGGTGAAGGTGAGCTCAGATGAGAACTCAGACCTCGTGCAGCCCTACCAGGCACTTCTGCAGCTCTCACTGGTCTTCTAGGCCTGCTGCCTACCCTGAGGCATCCCCAGCACCCCTCGCTTTCTCCAGAGGCCCCTGAGACTGCAGGCTAAGAGGTGGATGGGTCTGCTTGAGCAGGGGATCGGTTCCCTCTAGCCCACCCTGCTCTCAACCCACCCTGTCCTCCCAACCTGCCAGCCTGTTTTTGGTCAACTAGGCTCAGAAGCCTTGATATGAAAGCACCTACCAGAGGCCAGGCTCTCCCCTGGGCAGCAGTGGGGCTTGCTGCCCATCTGCCAGTGGCTATGGCCACTGGACAGTTAACCCCACAGCAGCCGTCCTGTGTGCCAGCTTTCTCAATAATAGATTCTGGGCTCAGCCTCCTCCAGGGTCTGCCTGCAGCAACTCGGGCACTTTCTGCCAAAATAAACTACCATCATAAACAAGGGATGAAGACTTCCTGGGTGCCAAACTCACCTCTCTTAGAAAGTCTGGAGCCACCATGTCCCCTTCGCCACCCAGGGTACCCTGTGATACCTCCATGCTGGGCACTGTGGCCATGGCAGGGACCCTCCCTCTTTGACCCAGCAGAGACTAAGAGCATTCATTGCTTGAGTGCTCAATCCTGGAAAAGTTAACAGGGAGTCTGCAGAAAATGGCATGGTGGAGAGGGGGGCTGGGAGGGTCCATCTGGGGATTATTGGGTTAATTGAGGTGAACCAGTTTCTTTCCTGCTGACTTCTTGAATCAGCAAATAGGCCTTGTTCCCTGTGAGTCTCCAAAAAGATTAAGGGAGTTACCATTGTTCCCAAACTAATTCAGCAAACAACCTTTCTAGAAGATACAGTTCGTGGGAGTACTGGTTTATGTTCGGGGAATGGTGCCCAAAGTTAAGCAGACACAGTGTCTCAAAAAGCCAACTAAACTGTGTCAGACTTCCTGGTCAGCAGGGCTCAGCAGCTAACCGAGCCTCCCTGTGTTTCCAGCCTACCCCTGGGATCGGTCTGGCCTGAAATCCATGCCCCTGGACTTGCGGCACTTTGAAAAGCTGGACTCCTATGCCTCACAGGTAGGAAAGCCAGCCCCTCTGCCGTAGACTTCCTTTCCCGAGCCCCCAGGTGGCTTGGAATGGTGTGAGCCAAGGTAGCAAAGCTTCTCCCTAGGCTCCTTTCGATGTATCTTGAGTCCCTTGGATACAGTGTAGGGATGGGGGACAGAAGCAAATCCCTGTGCAGGATGAAAGGTCATCCCATACCCCACTGCACCCACCATTCTGACACTTCCAGCCAGGCTGCACATCCTGCTCTGCCCCCATGATAGACCCCATTGGCCAGCCCTGTCCTGCCCACCTCCCCTCAGCCAATCTGGGCATCGTTGTGGCTAAGCCATGCCAGCCCCTGCCCATGAAGGAAGGGAGTGAGAGAATAGAGGACCGTGGATGCGGATGGTCAGCACACACTGTGACCACTGCCATGCTTGTGCTCACCCCTGGAGCGTATGAGCTCCACACTCTTGTGCCTCTGGGCCTGGGAGTATCTGGGGTGGGGCTGGGATAGGGCTGGGAATGGTCAGCTCCTAGAAGTGCATAGGATACAAGGGTTGTGGGGATCAGGCAGGAACCTCAGGGCAGAGTCTCATAGGATGGGACAAGGAACTGGACCAGGACTGAAGTCAGGGTGAGCTGCCCCAGGTTAGCAAGCAGAGAGGTCATCTACAGGCTTAGATAGACCAGCCTGTGGTTGTCATAGAGTAGGTGCTCAGGATGATGCTTGTTTGAGCTGGTGAGTGGAAGGATTGGATCCCATTAGAGGTGGGGACATCCAGCTGTCCTGGAATGGAATATGGCCTGGATTATGCTGGGACAGTGAAAACAGAAAGGAGCTTAAAGGTCAACATGGAGCTAGAGGTGGGGGGAGGGAGAGGGACCAGATGGCCAGTCAGTGTAGAGAGAGGAGGAAGGCATGGGGAGGGGCTCCCAGACTAGACTGAGTAGTGGTGGGATGATCCGGCAGTTGCTCCCCATAAGGAACATAGGAGAAGGAACAAGCATGGGAAAGGAGATGAAGAGTTCATTCAGGGGGCAATAGGCACTAAGGCCTGAAAATGACCACTGGACGGTGGGATAGCCAAGCCTGGGGCTGCATCCAGTCTGGCGAGGTCTGGCCTGGAAACAGTGATTTGGAAGCCATGGAATTTAGCTGAGAAGTGAAGCCTTAGGGTGGGTGTCATCTGGGGGAAGAACAACCAAAAAGATCGGGCCAAGGCCAGGAAAGATGGTAGATCTTTCCTGATGGTTGGGTTGGTGGTCTTTTAGTCTTCACCTCCTGTACTTGTCCTGTGCTGACTGTGCTGAAGTTGCAGGCCCCAACTTCTTGAGAGCAGGCCTAGTCAGGGCCTGCAGTCTTGTCAAACAAGGCTAGACAGACCCACTGCTACTACTTTTGCACTGAAACACCTCAGAGGAGGCCTAGAGGCCTCAGCCAGACTCGAATGGACTGAGAAACAAACAGGATGAAGGAGGGAGTGAAAAGAACAGTCCACAGGAAATTCACAACAAAGTGGTATCTGGGCATTGGCAGTCTTGAGAAAGACTGGGGGCAGTTTGAAGAGCTACAACAGACAGGAAGGAGGAGTGGGGCTCCTACAACAGACAGGAAGGCAGGAGGTGAGGACACAGTGAAGAAGACTGAGCCCTGGCCCTGAAGGCAACTGAGACAATGGTGGAACAGCAGGGAGAGGGAAGTGCAGGAACATGAGCAAGGGCCCCCGAGTCCTGCCTGGGCCTCCCAGAATCTGAGAAAGTGAGGGAAGTTTAGGGGAAGGTGGGTGTCCCAAATCTGATGAGGAATGGTAATGGCTGCCAGAAGGACTGACCAGACTGATCAGCCTCGGTCTAGTGCCATGGGCAGTGGACAGCCAGCACAGGACAAGTGCAGGAGGTGAAGACCAAAAGACCACCGAACCAAAGTTTGAGGTTAAGTTGGGAGTCAGTAAGGCTGCTGGTTGGGCCTATGTCAGGCACTGTTCTAGAACCTGTGAGAAGAACAAAAATAGACACTGGATGTGGAAAAAAGGAAACAAAGAGCAACTGGGTGAGTGGGAGAAAAATAGGGGTCAGGAGGCCTCCTTGAGGTCAGAGTGCGTCCTAGGTCCAGGCACAAATGGTGGAGTGATTCCTGGGGAGAACAAGGTTGGGGGTACCCTAGTGGTGGTGACTGAGTGAGGCAGGGTGACTGTAGCAGACCGTAAGCCCCAGTTACCCCAGTTCCTCTAGAAAGATTGAACATGTCCGGTCTGCCTTTCCAGCAATCCCAGCCCTGTTTGCTCCTAAGAGTCCTGAGAGAAAACTTAATTTGTTCCTTTTTTAATCAGTGTGATCATATTCATATCTATAAAGCAGAACTTGCCATTTCAATCATTTTTAAGTGTACAATGAGTAGAGTTAGTTACACTTACAATGTTGAATAATCATCACCAATATCTGCTTCCAAAATGTTTTAAAACATCCTGAAAAGGGCCTCTATTTGTTAAGCAATGACTTCCAGTTCTCCCTCCTCCAGCCTCTGGTAATCTCTAATCTGTTTAATATCTCCATTAACTTGCCAATCTAGATATTTCAAATAGGTGGACTCATATAGTACCTGGCCTTTTGTGTCTGGCTAATTTCACTTAGCGAAGTGTTTTGAGGATTCATCTGTGTTGTAATATGTTTCTTTTTTGTGGATGAATGCTATTCCATTGTGTATAAACTGTATCTTGTTTATCCATTCATTTGTAGTAGACATGTGGGTTGAGTCTCCTTGGCTATTGTGAATAATACTGCAATGAACATTGATGAGCAAATATGTGTTTGAGTCCTTGCTTTCAGCTCTTTGGGGGTATTTACCTGGAATTGGAATTAATGGATCATATAGTAATTGTGTATTTAACTTTTTGAGGAACCATCAAACTCTTTCACAGGAGCTGACCATTTTACATTCCCATCAGCAATGTAGAAGAGTTTTAATTTCTCTGCATTCTTGCTAAAACTTATTGTCTTCTACCTTTGTTATTATAGTTATCACAGTTGAATATAAAGTAATATTTCTTTTTGGTTTTTATTTGCATCTTCTTAATGACTAATGAAATAGATTATTTTTCTTATGCTTATTGTCCATTTTTATAGCATAGGAGAAATGTCTATTCAAATCCTTCAGCCATTATAAATTTCGATTGTTTATTCTTATGTTGATAAGCTATAGAAGTTCTTTATATATTCTGGCTATTAACCCTATCAGATATCTGACTTGCAAGTATTTTCTCCCATTCTATAAGCTTTTTTTTTTTTCCTTTTCTTAATATTACCCTTTGGTACACAGAAGTTTTTGTTTTTGTTTTTTATATTAATAAAGTCCAATTAATTTTTTCTGTTTTTGTAGCTTTTCCTTTGGTATCACACCTAAGAAACCATTGGCAAATCCAAGGTCACCACAATAGATCCCTGGGTTCTTCTATGTGTTTTATGGTTTAAGTTCTTATTTAGGTCACTTACCCCTTTTGAGTTCATTTTTGTGTAAGGTGTGATTTAAGGACCCAACTTCATTCTTTTGCTTATGGAATTCCAGTTGTTCAGCATTATGTTAGAAGAGACTATTTTTTCCCTATTGAGTAAATTTGATCCCTTGGTCAAAAGCCAGTTGACTATAGACATGAGAGTTTGTGTCTAGACTCTCAAGTCTATTCCATTGGTCCATATGATCCTTATATCTGTGCCACACTGTTTTCACTACTGCAACTTTGTGATAAGTTTTGAAATCAGAAGTATGACTCCTCGACTTTGTTTTTTTTGTTTGTTTTTTCAAAATTGTTTTGGCTATTCTAGGTCCCTTAAAATTTGATATGAATTTGAGGATTGACTCCACCATTTGTGCAAAAAAAAAAAAAGCTACTGGAATTTTTGCAGGGATTGTGTTAAATCTATAGATCACTTTGAATAGTATTAATCATGACTAGGGACTACTATGGTTGCCCAGATGCCTACCTGGCCAGTCACTAGGGTCACTGGCTCTCGGGCCAGTCCATCTTGTCCAGTCCTCTGGACAAGCCCACCAAAATTCTGCAGATAAGGATTGCTCTCAGCTCGGCCTTTGCACCCCTGGATTCTCTTCCTGTTCTATCTAGAGGAAAAGCAGCCCTGGCTGCAAGTGGCAGGACACTGGGTTCCACGTGTACTCCTGCAGGCCTGACAAAGTATACCTCTCTCTCCCAGGTGACAGTCAAGAGTGGTCTGGACGAACTGGTGAGCGACCTGCTCCAGGAGGCTCACAGTGACCTGGAGAGGGTCCGTGCCATCTGGATCTGGATCTGCCACCACATAGGTAGGCCCACCTTGCTCCACCTGTGCTGTGTTTGTCCTTGATGCCACTCCCTGTGGCTCCTTTCCTAGAGGAGAAACTCTGGGATTAACTGAACCGCTAGTGTATGTAAGGAATGGGGAAGAAGGAGGAGGGAGAAAACTCCCAGATGGCTGGATCGAATAACCAAAGACTAACCAAGGAGGGTCAGACTCACGGGGTGCTGACAGCCTCCATGATGGTTGTTGGATAGTGACCCTCATGTGGCCCTGTATTCACAGCAAGTAGCTAGAGCTGAGCCCTTCACCCAGAGCTGAGCACAGCTTCCCACCATTCTGGCTTCCTCGTACACCTGCTCCACAGAGATGAGAACCCAGGACAGAAGATCACTTCCGAGAAGGATAACCATTGATTGGGGAGGAGTCGCAGCTATCTGAAAAGTCATTGCAATACTAGTAGCCTCTTCAAGTACCAGTGCCAGAAAGGGCTCTCCTTTCCTGCCCTTCACCCATCCCTGTCCTCAGTGACCACAGTGATTCTGGTCTCAGGGCCTCCTGTTATTGGGGTGACAAGCTGTGAGAGCTTTCTCTAGGGCCAGCTTGAACCATTGCTCAGTGCTGCCCCTGAGAGTCACTGTGAGGCCTCCACCTCAGAGACCCAGCAGGGGAGAGTGAGCAGCTTTTCTCAAGCTGTTTGCAGAGCTGTGTTTTGGGGACAAGTGGACAGAGCATTCCCCTCACACACCCTCCACAGCCACGGCCTCTTCCCTCCTAGCCCCTTCTCAGAGCCGTGCAAATCCAAGCAGTCTACTCTGCAAAGGTCTGGCTCTTCCTCTCACCAGCTGCACAACGGGGTGTCCTTCCCTCACCTAGGTTGGGCCCTAGTCCTGTCCGGCCCATATTATTGTTTCTCCCAGACATGAAGGAGACAGACCCCCTAATGCAGAAGCACAGCTGGTGCGGGGAGTGGGGTGTGAGGCTCTAGACAGCAGACTCCCTTCTCTGCATCATCCTCGGACGCCTTGTAGCTGGCTTCTCACTGCCTTCCTCTGCCCTCCAGAGTACGACATTGAGGCTGCCCAGGAGAAGGACCGCCAGGCCTTCAAGCCCACCGAAATCCTGAGGACCCAGAAAACCAATTGTGATGGCTATGCTGGGCTCTTCGAGAAAATGTGCAGGTACCAGCTGGGTCTCCTGAAAGGCTGGCAGGCCTTTACCCCTCACAGATTCCTTTTCCCCAACCCAAAGGTCTGGGTGCCTCCCTCTCCAACTCAGGCCGAAAATCTCAGTTTGCAAACTGCTCTGGAATCCAAGTGAGTCCTGAAAAGGTCAATGTCTCCCTTTTTAACACCAGCATAATTGACTTTGTACCATCTGCTGGGCTTCGCAATGCATTAACATAATGGCAGATGAATGCGCAGAGATAATTTGGTTATAAAAGGCCCTTTTTCCACCTTCTCCCATCTCCGTGCAGCTGAAGGTTAGAAGAATGGCAGATCTGGGAACCAGAGGACAATGGCTGCTGATGCCAGGGGGGTTGTGAAAGGCTGTCCTGGGGCTGGCGCAGGGCCCCTCCCTCCCGGAAAACAAAAGATCTCAGATGTGAAAAGATTTGTCTATTGGAAAAGCTGAATAAAACTGGGAAGCAGCTTTTCTCCGGGAGCCCTTGGGCATTTTGACTGCTCTGGGGGTAAGTACCTGGCCAGGTTGCCAGGGTGGGCTCAGCAGGGAATGGGTTGGTAAGAAACCACTTCTGTTTAGAGACATCATCGCTGGCCCTGGGTGACATCTAGTCAGACTCAGGTTCGGGATGCCTGGTAGATCCTGCAGCTTCCTGTATCTTGAGGCCTCTTGGGCTCCCCAGGAAACAGCTGGTCCTGGGAGTCAGGGAGGGGCTGCTGAAAATTTCCCTCCTGGCCAGCTGGAAGGTACCTGCTGTCTCTGCAGGCCTCTGAGGGGGTCTCCTTAGACACCCAGATGTCAGCCCACCACACCCTTCCTTGAAGTCACTAGCACACCTGAGATACCAGCTTGTGTCTGGCTTTATGCTCTTACTTAATTTTTCTAAGTTAAAAAATATTTGTTCAATGTAGATGATTTAGGAAATGCACAGGAACAGGAAAGAAGAAAATTAATTTACTCTGAACACAACCACTTAGAGATAGCACTTAACATTTTGTCAGTCTTTCCAGACTGTTCTGTCACATAGAAATTACCTGTGCCCTTGAGTTTAAATTTGTGCCATTCAATCTTCTGCATCCTTAACCCCTCCCTCCACCACTTTCTCCTGTAATCCCATCCCAGAATCCTGCACAGTAGGACAGTATGTACAGTAGATTATAGATTATTTTTTTAAAGATTTATTTATTTATGCATACAGAACTGGGATACAGGCCAGAGGTACAGGGATGCTGAGAGGATTCACCAGAGACAGAGTGGGATGCAGAACAGGCAGAACAACAAGGTACACTGCTGAGGGGAGCAGTAGACGGGTCACGAGGTCTGCTGCGCCATGTGCGACACTTCCCTGGCCGGGGATCAAACTCTTGAGGTGGCTGCTTCTAGCATCATAGTGCTGTGCTTTAACCCATTGCACCACCAGGGAGGGTCCAGGACTTTTTTTTTTTTTTTAAACAACATAGTAGCCCTTGATCCATTTTCAGATCTACTTGTGCCTAACATCTTAGAGAACGTAATTATTTTCATTTGAATTTGCAAATTTGACAATACTGGGAGCTTTAAGTGCTACAGAATATTCTCCAGACTCTGTAGAAACTTTCTAGGGTGGCATAGAAGGAATGCCAGATTTAAAGCCATAAAGGCTTCTCCTGTCCTTAGTTCCCAGTCTGTAATTTACTGCTTTTACTCCTTCTAACCACTGGGAGTCTCGGTTTTCCCATTCTGCAGTGCCTACTGGCAGGACCGTAGGACTAAATGAGAACATGCAGTCTGGGCTTGCTTATCTGACTCTGGGTTGTTTTTTTGTTTGTTTGTTTGTTTTTTTGTTTTTTTTCTTTGCCTTGGGTATTGGAGTGTTTTTACTCTGTGGACTTTTCCTACAGACCCACACAGACTCAGAAAACTGGCACTTGGCTTGAGTGAAACTGTCAGCTCGTTGGCCTGGTCCAGATACTAAACAATAGCCACATCCTGGCCTGCAGCTGATTATTAAAAACATCCCAACATGTTGCATCATTTAAAGTTAGGTTCTAACTTGGCAGTTACCAGGTGGAAGACTCGTCACAGTGCCAGGAATACTCACTGTTCCCAAATTCCTCTAGATTTCACTTTAAAGATCAGTAACCTCATCCATGCCTCACTTTACTAATTCCTCTTACTTTAAAACAACTGCCAAAGGTTTGGCCAATTCCTTAACTGGTTCCTTAATGACTGAAGACATGTAACCCACCCTTGCTGACTTAACCCTGCTCAGTTGTGAAGGTCACCTCCTAGCAAGAATTGTACTCTAACTAACAGCCATCATCACTTCTACTGGTCCATTCCACCTCCTGCAATAGCCTCATTAAAGACTGATTTAATCATTTGGTGAGGAATTCAGATATTTTTGCAACATCATTCATTTCCTCAGTATCTTCCAAGTTACTGACTTGAGTATTGTTTTGAGTGCTACTGCTTGTAACTGCTGGTCCAATTTCTTTCCGACATTCTTTCATCAAGCATTAAGGTCTTTCCTTTTGCCTCGATTGCCCACAGCCTTAATGAATTCTGCTTAATTTCCTTGCAGGGCTCAAGCTCAATTCCCCAGATTCCAACCATTGAGCCAACTGCCAATCCTCTCCTTTCCCCTTGTTAGCACAGCTCTCACACCACCGACTAGCAGATTTTCCACCAACCAGCACTTTTTATAAAGCTAGGAGCTTATTACCAGTCAGGCTTTGATGCCGAGGGGACTGATTGTCACCGATCAGATGTCAGTTTTCCATCCACACTGCAGTTGTCACAGAGAGAAGCGCAGTGGCATGCTTCTGCCTCAGCATGATGTCCCAAACAACCCCAAAATACCACCTGACTCCAAAGCCTTCCAAGCCGAGGAGTGACTGGCTAAGCCCCTGGGAGTAGCAGGTTTACTGAATAACCTAAAATTATGTCCATGTCTGACCACTAAGCAACTCCTGCTGTAATAGATACCAAAGGAGAGGGCTCACAAAGATGAATTATGGCAAATTAAATTAAATCTGTTCATTTTGCTCTCTGTACCACCCTTGAGTTCATAAATTAAGACAAAGCTTAGTGTTCAACTGTGTCTCGGTGCTGCTTTGGCCACGAGCTGGCTGTGTGTTCCCGGGCAAGTCAACCTCCCTCCCTGAAACACGGACTCCTCCTCACCTGTCGGAGAGGAGGCTCGGAAGTCACAACTCAGGAATCTCCAATCAGGGCCTAAACGTGAAAGTCATTATTACCCCACAGCCACTGATCTTGTCACAGGGAAGTGTAAGAAAAAGGGAAAGGAGGGTTTTTAACAGAACTATAAGAAAAAACAGCCAAACCTATGAGATTTGACCACATGGACAGTGAAACACTGAGTTGTAGCTATGCTTGGATAGAAGACACCTCTTTGAACCAGTTTCCAAATACCCTTCTTGAGAAACAAAATTTTAGGAACAGCAAGACTCAAAGCTTCCAATTCACAGGGATGCTTGTCCTGTTAGAGTGACTACTGGACTTGAAGTTGATGAAACCGCGTTTCCTAATTTCACTTGGGAAACTAGAAATCACAGTGTTTTCAACAAGATGCCCAAGGAAGCATATATCTTGCTTCTCTTGAAAACTGCCATTCCTGCTCCCTCCCTTCTCTCCACATGGCTTGGATCTCCTGGGCAAGGGCCCCCAAACTGGGGAAGTCCACTGTGGCCAACACACTGGGCCTGGCAGTGGACAGCTAAAACCACACTGGAGGTGCAGGGGGAGGGCTGGGGAGGGGGACAGCGGGCTGGGCCCTCCCTGCGTGAAATGATTGATAGTCACTGTGGAGCTCAATCACCTCCTCAATGACACCATCAGCTGTGGGACTTGCAGAGGTCAATAGTTCTGAGGTTATTAGCTATGCTTCCTCAAGTGATCTTTTGGGTTCTTGGAGGACTGGTCAGTTTACAGGAGCTGGAAATGTTTCTTACCCTCTACCCCTCTTCAGCACTCTGCCAGCTCTTTCCAACGAATTCCCCCTCTTTGGGGTTTCCCAGTTCACATTAGCATTTTAATAACAATTCACATATCAGCCCCCACTTCCAACTACGCCAACATTTAGGGCTGCCAGAGAGCTTTATTTTAGATTATATTTCACTATGAAGTAGTTTATATTCTATTATAGTCCCTTCCATTGTATTCCCTCCACTGTCACCTGGTGCAGTGCTGTACACATAGAGACAGTGCTCTTTGGAATACATGAAGTGTTTGTGGGACATCGGAATGAGAACCGGTGGCTGAAATTACTAGTCCCACTATTTTGCATGAGAATTATGGCTTGTTAACAATAATGCTTTACATGATGACTTCTTTGTCCAATTCATCTTGCACATTACTGCCAGGTAATAAAATATCCTCGTATCATTGTCAAACTTGGCATAAGCTTATAGCTGAGCTTACTTTTTCATCGTTATTCTGCCACAGGCATTTCCCACGGCCTCCCAGCTTCTCCTCAGTCTGTCAGCGGAGGATCAGCCCCTAAAGATCACTTAATTCCAGCCTTTCCTTGTGCCCAGGATGAACTGGCAAGGTCACACAGGAGGTGACCATCAGGGCTGGGAGTGGACCCTCTTCTGCCAGCCCTGCCCTGGGCCCACCCACTGCAGCCCCATGCATTTCAGGTGCACCCCCTTCCTTCAGCCCTTGCCAGGGCTTGGGGAGAGGCCCGTCACTCTCACTCCCTACTTGGTCCTCAAATCTAGTCTCCATCTCACCCCTCAGTGGGAGGATAGTCCAACCTCACCCCCCCATGCCAGGGAAATGTCCTCTCGCCTGAGGACATTTGGGCAGAGTCCAAGACAGCCTCACTGCCCACACCCACCTCGTCTCACCACAGCGCCTGGTGGCCAGTGGGCAGTCGGTCATGCTTCTCCCTCCCTTGACTGCAGGCGGCTGTGAGTGGAGGGCAGCCTTCAGGGGGTGGCATGTCCAGGGTGCATAGCTCTACCGGGTGAGCTCAGCCTCCTGAGAAATAGGCTGGCTGCTCCACACCATGGTCCCCCAGACGCTCTTCCCCTCCACACCACTGAAACTGCCTCGCTCGGACGTTCCTGGCGAGAAAGGAAGATAACTCACCAAAGGATGCAATATTTTTCTAATTCTAAAAGTAACACAAAATCATTATTGAAAATTTAGAAATAAAGAGATGTTTAAATAAGAACATGTAAATCATCCATAACCCCATTACCCAGGATTCTGCTATTTGTTAATTAAATATCTACTTTTAGAGGGAAAAATCCCCCTCCCCCTAACACACACATACACACACACACACACACACACACACTCCTAAAGGGAAGGTGTGGCCATTTCACCCATTACCCTGAAAGACTCCACAGCCTTCTTATCTAGAGCAACACAGGCCTGTCCCCTAGGAGGACCTGGCCACTAGAAGCCACTGGCCCCTGCTGGCTGGGTCAGTGCTGCAGAGAGCTGAGCAGGCTTCAGCGCTCAGAGGGCCCCACCTAAAGGCCCATCCTGCATTTCATAAGCCTGTATTTTTATTGTGTCCATCTTCCACCAGTGATTAAAAAAGGTCTTGCCAAGGGGGCATCTTTTTCTATTGCACACAAAGGCCCAGGCAGGTCACTCAAGTCTCTTGCTTGGGCCTTGGGGTCATGGCCACAGCTCAGGTCTGGGCCTCAGGAGATGAGCTACGAATGTCCAGAGTGTCACCTGATTTCCATGATCCCTAGAGTAGGGACCAGTGCCCAGTACCCCTGCCAGCCATGAGCAGTTGCAGTGTGTGGGGGGGAAACGGCATACTGCCAAGGGACCCAAAAGCCCCGGGAGACTGGCCAGCCTCTCCCTCCCAAAGCGTAGCTCCCAGGGACTCCGGAGAGAGGCTAGGGCCATTAATCTCAGATGACCTAAGGCACCCAGTGGCCCAGTGCTCAGATGTAATGGCCAGTCCTCTCTGGGTCAGGGCTGGAGGCACCAACTGGCCTGCCCCACGGTTCCCTCACACCGCATGGAGAGTAGGCCTCGGCTTTCTTCTGCACCCTCATATCCAGCATCCCTGACACCCCACCGTGTCATTTGAACCCTTCTCCTCAGCCTCATGTTCAGAGCCTCTCTGGCTCTTCCAGGGCATCATCATTTCCCGGAGCCCGTGTTCTCCAGGCAGTCCTGGCATTCCCTCGTGTTCCTGAAGAACTGCTCCCAGAACACTCACACAGGCTCTGGGGAGAGATGTGTCAGGGCCTGTATGGTCTCCAGGGAGGAGCAGACAACAGGGACAACTGCCTGTTCATGGCAGGACCAGCCAGCCCTGGAGAGACAAAAACCTCAGGTTGCCTATATCTGACTGTGTAGAAGGCAGGGAAGAGGAGAAGCATGAAGAGACTGATGGGTAGGGGCCTTGAGGAGGCCTGGGAGATGGGCGACGTGAGAGACAGGCCCCCGCAGAGCCACCTTTCTGACCCCCATGCCGCCCGCAGGATCGCTGGGGTACAGTGCATGACGGTGGCCGGCTACTCCAAGGGCTTCGGCTACCAGACGGGCCAGAGCTTCTCTGGGGAGTTTGACCACGCTTGGAACGCGGTGTACCTGGAGGGGAGATGGCACCTCGTGGACAGCACCTGGGGCAGTGGCCTGGTGGACTCCACCACCTCCAAGTTCACCTTCCTGTGAGTATGAGGCTCCATTCTGCTGGGTGTCTGGTTGGTGGAAATGAGGACACGCAGGTTAAAAGAGGCAGCAGGTGGAGAACTGGCCAGAGGGAGGGGAAGAGCCAGGATGGCTCCAACCTGCTGGTGCCACGGCCTTTTCCTCAGGCTCTGAAGTGAGCAGCTCCAGGCCACTTGTAAAGGCCCAAATCATTTTATCACTTTTCCCCTCTCCCCACACTGACTAAATTCCTCCTCTGGCTCACCATCTCTCCCTCTACTCCAGTGCTAAAAGCCTCCAGCATTTGCCCACAGGCCAGATGTGAGGGAAGGCAGGGCTGAGAAGCTCTTCAGTTGTCTGTAGGTTCCCCTCAGGCCTTTGTCCCAGGTACTATATGTTACTATGTTCCCCACACAGCAATCTCTCCTGCTGCTTTCCCCAGCCCCAGAGCCCCGGTACCCCCTCCTCTCTGGGCTCATTGTGGCCATATCAGATCGCTGAGGAAGGGTTATGGCTTCAAGAGAGAGGTGCTGTGGGTTTGCGGCGTCACTCTGAGCAGGCTGATGATGCAGGGGCTGGAGCATCTCCATCCCCAAGTTCTAGCCTTAACTTCAGAAAAGGACATGTGTCCTTGGATCATAATGTCCATCCATGGTCCAGATTCTTTTTATTAAAAAAAAAAAAAGCGTTGTCTCTGGTTTTTGCAGCTTAAATCCTGACAGTCCCACACACGGGGCAAATGTGGTTGCAGCATTTAGCTGCACATAGATCTCTGCTTTTGTGCACTGACGGTCCCCGTCAGCTCTGGTCACTGCTTTGCCTGAGGCCGAGTGAACCCCCCAATTGCTGACAAGTCTCTGCATTCTCAATCCCTATCACTGTCCTCCAGAAGCCACCTCTACTTGCCCCAGAGACCACAGAAGGGTCCAGCATGGGGTCGGCCTGACTGGATGGAGGTGGTGAACCCAAGTCCCTTCCCTCCTTGCCTTCTGCCATTCCGTTCTGCACCTTTGACTCTGAGCAAGGCATGAGTCCACTCCCACCTGGATACGCTTGCAGGCTGTCTTAGAAGAGGCCTCAGATTCTGCCAAGGCTCCTGTTTCTAGAATCAGATGCTGAAGGGAGTCTCTAGTACCCACATTAGAACTGGAAATGGTACCTTCTTGCAGGATGTGATATCAGCTGGAGCCTGCTATCGGGTATATTAGGCAAAAGAAGACCCCAAAATGCCCCACTTACCCCTCTGCAGAGCTGGGGGCCCACCTACCGCCACACATGATTACTAACCAGCTTCTCCTCTGCTCCAGCTATAATGAATTCTACTTCCTCACGCATCCTGCACTGTTCATCGAGGACCACTTCCCAGACAATAAGAACTGGCAACTGCTAAAGCCTCCTCAATCCCTGAGGCAATTTGAGAACAACATGTATCACAAAAGTGAATTCTACAATAAGGGGATGCTGAGTGCCCATCCGGATATGCCCATGATCAGAACAGGTAACCCTGGAGCTCCCACAGCAGGGCCGGCAGCCTGCTGTGGACCTCTGGAGTCTGAGCCCACAGGGACAGCCCTGCGGGGCCCAGCCAGGGCCAGGAGCTCAGTGTAGGCCGTGTGGGTGGCTGGGCCTGTAGGGTTGCTGAGGCAGCCAAGGTCATCGGGCACTCGGGTGGGATGCAGCCGGCCGTCACACTTGCAGGGACAAAGACCCACGTGCACCAGCATAAACCAAGAAGGGGATACCTAGGAAGTCCCCCAGTTTCCCTCATCCCAAGGGGCTACACTCACAGCCCAGCCCATCAGGGAGCTAGGCCTGGAGGTCCAAGCAGGTGAGGCTTGGCTCACAGAGTTCACACAGCAACAGCAGGACAGCCTCAGTCCTGGCTGCACTCTTCCCAGCTGCACTCTTCTGGCTGCACTCTTCCCAGCTGAGGTGCCCAGCGGAAGCTTCACTAGCTTGCAGAGTTCTCCTCCCCAGCAGAGCTGAGTCTGTGTGTCAGTGGTCCAAACAGGTCATGGGTAGCAGGGAGGACCTCCCAGGAGAGAGGGTGCTGGGGGACTTTCTCGAGGGGGATGATGGCAGAGCTGTGTCAGCCAGCTGGGAGAGAACAGGAGAGGGACATGTTTCAGGACAGACACAGAAAGCCTTCAATCTCTGGGCACTAGGACCCCTAAATGAGTGCCAGACTCCAGGGAGCACAGCCCGGCCTTGAGAACCCTTTAGTCAGTGAGGGATGCTTGCTGGCATCCAGTCTTGAATCCAGTCTTGACCTGACGCTGCAGGTATGGAGCACCAAGCTGGACTATCCCCATGGAGGTCTGGACTGACATTTTCTCTCCCTCTCCCCATGGGGCCACAGATCAGTATGTTCGCTCGCAGACTATGAGATGTGGGAAACCAGTCTGCGGGGTCCAGAACTGTGGCCATGGGCTGGCAGGTCTACCTCCAGCGGGCAGTGTCTTATGCACTGCCACATCCTGCTGCCTGGCCCAGGTGTGGGCCCAGAGCCTGTAACTGCTACAGGCCTCAGCACAGCTAGGACCGTGCACCCCCACTCTTCAGCCAAGAACTGCCTACACACCCCGCCTCAGTCACCAGGGGCCTAGGCTCTCAGGAGCCCCGAGCTCCCTTGACTGTGAGTAGGCCCAGAACCCGGGGGAGCCCCAGCCAGCTTGGTGGGTGATGGGGACACAGGTGCCCCCATGGTAGTTGCAGCTGACTTATACCTTCAGCTCACAAAGATTTCCTTAACCAGGGTGCTGAGTTTCTCACGTATTTTTAATACCACAAATACTCGGTGGCTTTTGCCACTGAAAAACAGCCTGAGGTTGCTGTCTTTGGCAGTACGCTTTCTGGGCTTCCACAGGCTGTACAGCAATCTGGCTGTGGGTGGCAGAGCAGGGAAGGAAACCCAGAGAAGGAACTAGGCTGTACCAACCAAGCCCATGCAGTTGTTCGCCTTTTCAAGAGCTATAAAGATGTAAACACCAGGTTTTGTAATATATAGTAATCAAAAGTTTGATTCCATACTCATGTATAGTTAGAGAGTAGTTTTCTACTGGGGCTAGTTACGTTAAGAGTGGGGAGGGAAGGAAGCAGAAGAAGGAAGAAACAGGACATGGTGGGGGAGGTGAAAGGTACTGAGGGAAGAGAGAGGAGGGTAGAGAAGGGGGTTGACCAAGGAGGTCACAGGCAGGAATGGCCAGCCATTCAAGTCTCATCCGTTCCAAGAAGCCCCAGGTCCAGGCACCCTAGCCAGACCTGTGACCTGGCAGGACAGGAGGCAGGGGAGCCCCTTCCCCAGTACCCAGAACACAGCAGAGAGGACAGATATTCTGTCACTGACTCATTACAGCGTTGTTAAGTTGCCCAAAGAAGACACAGAATGAAAAGCAACTTCTATGGTGCAGTCTCAGCCAGGCACTAGGAAAGGCCTCTGAGTCAGAATAATAAGTTGAGGTCCTACCTCAGAGAAGCCACTGCCCTCCTCTGTGGGAGAATTCATGGGCTACAGAGACCAGAGAACTGACCGCCTGTCCCCAGAAAACAATGACCAGGACAGAGGAAGATGAAAAGAAACTTCGAGGCCAGTTTAGAGGCAGGGGTGGGGGCTGGGGCGAGGGTCAGGGTACAGATGCAACAGACCCTCATCTGTGTCCACTGGCCCTTCTTCCTAGAATGGTGGCCAGGGCAAGCCAACGTGAGAAGCGTGGCAGGGAGGGGGGATGTTTGGGTCGAGGTTGAGCAGGGTTGGGGGTAAGAAGCAGACCCACGCCTGAGCAGTCTCTAGGAGTGAAGAGACCCAACTTTTCAGGTAATGTGTTGATGCAACAGCTATTGACACTGATGAACAGATGCTAGAGACAGTAGTGAAAGCAACACTTGGCAACTTGGAGGAGGTGCCACAGAGATGCTCTCCAAAGTGGGCTTTGGGCCGTCCTTGCCCCTTGTCCCCCACACCCCCACACCCATCTTCCTGGCTCTAGGATCAAGTGCACTTCCATGTAGCCTTCACTAATGGGAATCAGATAGGTAGGGTGAGGAACAGATTTTTTCTTGGGGAGCCACCTCCAACCTCCCAGATTTTAACTCACATGAGGCAAACCTCCAGAATGGGGCAGGAACAGCAGTATGCTGCAACTGCCTTATATAATGTCTGCTGGCATCATGTTACTTGCTTCAAATCACTTGTGGTGAAAGTATTTACACCACAGAAATGGGCAGATGTTTCAAGTCCAGGTTTTCCCTCCAGAGAACCAGTTGTCAGACATTGACCAACCGGTCAGCACACACTGGACCCATCTTGCCTGACCATGGCTTTCTCTCCACAGTGAACGGGAAGGCCACGATCACCATCGAGAGCTGCGCCCCAACGCTGTTCATGTTCATGCTCAATGGCAAGCAGGAGCACGGTCTACTGAGCCTCAGGAAGAACGGGATGAAGCTGGATGTGTACCCACCGACCATGGGCACCCACAAGCTGCAAATCTTCGCCAAAGGCAACTCCGACATCTACAGCTCAGTGCTGGAGTACACAATCAAGTGCAACTATGTGGACTTCGGTATCCAGCTGCCAGCCGAGCTGCACCAGCCCGTGGGCCCCAGCTGGTTCTCGGAGCAGATGGGCATCGTGAAGCCCTCCCACCCTGACCCCATCATCCACACCAGAGACGGCCGCTGCTCCGTCAGCTTCAGCGTGGAGGAGGGCATCAGCGTCCTGGCGTCACTGCATGGGGATGACGGGCCGGTCACCGAGGAGACACAACGACGCTACATCTTCCAGCTGCACCGGGAGAAGCGGACAGAGCTGAAAGTCCAACTGCCCCACGCCGGCAAGTTTGCGCTCAAGATCTTTGTCAAGAAGAGACAGGAACCAGGCAACTACGTCTTTGTCTTCAACTATCTCTTGTGCTGCACCAACACCAAGGTGAACTGGCCTGTGTTCCCCGAGAGCTTCGGCAACTGGGGGCAGGAGAATGAGCTGCTGGAGCCCCTGTCAGGCGTGCTTCCTGCCAACCGGAACGTCCCATTCAAATTGAAGTTGCATGGCATTGCCAAGGCCCTGGTGAAGGGGCAGGATACGTGGCCGCTGACCCTGAACCGCGACGGCTACTGGGAGGGCAGCTGCAGCACGGCTGGCTGCCAGGAAGTCTTCGTCATGGTGCTAGAGAACGCCAACCACAACTTCTACTCCTACATCCTGAAGTACAAAGTGAACACCCAGTGAGGGCCTGGCCCAGACGCACCCCTGGAGGCCCACAGCCAACCCTGCCCAGGGAGGGCCTGAGGGGAGTGCAGAGGGCCCCAGACACCACTGAGTCTGCATGAAATCTCTTCTAGGCCTCTGCCTCAGTCTCCTTGCTTTGTCACAGGAGCTGTGTTCTGATGGCTTCTCTTACTGGCAGTGGCCGAGGGGACAGAGGCAAAGGCCCTTTAGAAGAAAAAGGTGCTATTTCAATCCAAGGTGTTGTAAACTGTACCCCACTGCCCAGATGCTCCCCTTCTCATATTAATGCTGTTGTTGTTGTCACAGGGTTGAGGTGGAGAAGCAGAGAGATTGTCCAAGCAGAAAGCTTTTCACATGACGAGAGCCCTATTCTCCCTCTCCCCCAGGCCCAACCGGGACATGATTTGCAAGGCTGAGTCATCTTGAGTCATCTGTCCCTCTCACATGGCATCCCAGTGTTTCTTACCACCTCCTGGACCCCAGGGAAGGTGGGACCATCGGTTTTTGCAGGCCTACCCATCTTCTGCATTCCTGCTGCTGCTTTATTAGTTGCTTCTTGCTCGTCAAGATAAAAGGTGTGAGAGGAAGCCAGCCAACCCCCAATGGCTAGCGCAGATGGCCTCCATGACTCTGTGTCACTGGGAATGGCGACCAGGAGGTGACTCCAAAGCAAAGAGCGATCAATGCTCTCTCTGGGATGTCCCAGTGGGAGGCTGAGCTGGGGAGCAGGTACACCACAGTACTCCTGATTCTAAAGGTGTGCAACCTCTCCCTGTGCTGTCAGAGAATCCCAAAGGTCGCTTACCTAAGTCTAAAGCCTGGCAGTTATATTCCAAGCCTCTCCAATCCTGGGCCTTGGGCCCCGGGCTGCACCCTACACAGAGGCCCTCAGGAGGCCTGCTGGGCCTCTGACGTGCCTTGTCAGTCATTATGCCCAAAGACCTAGGGAGGAGTGAGGTGAGTGAGGCGTAGTACAGATGCTTCAGTGCTGAGGGGACCCCCACAATACTCAGGCTCTGCTGAGCCCACAAGCAAATCCACAGATGGGGTCCTGGGCCTACCCTAGGACAGGTTTTGTGCCTAAACCTATTTCGTCTCCCTTCCTCCTTTGCTCTGAGATGAAAGGACCCCTGCATTCCACCTTCTGTAGACACAGTTCAGAACCCCCTGCTTGCTCAGGCCTGAGAAGCCTTGGCTGCCCAGCTGGCCCTCAGCAGCACCTCCGGTCAGTGTTGCCATGGCAACAGCAGAGGGGTTGGCTCAACGAGAGCAGCTGGGAGGAAGGAGCCCTTCAGGCCTCCGCAACGCCACCCCGACCACTCTTCCAGGTGGACCCTGGTGATCTCCAGGCTTCTCCTACCTCTGCTGCCCCTGTCACCCCTGAGAGTGGACCCTGCCCAGCGCTATCCCTCATTGCTGCTGTAATGTCTCCAGGCTCAGCTACAGCCAGTGCTGACCGAGGACAGCCAGCTCTGCCTTCATCTCACATCATGTATTCAATCAACGTTCCAGAGCTACCTAAAGCGCCAGGCATCACTGTGGACACAGACTATGGGTGGCACCGAGGGGCCCTATTCCGCCAGACCTCAGGGTGGGCACCACAGTCTCGCCCACTCAGGCTGTCTCTCAGCACATCCGTCTATCATCCCTTTAGGGCTCCTTCCTAGGAGCTCCCCTGTGCCACCCAGCAGGCACCTGGCCCCCAGCAATATAACATCATCCCCCAGGTGGGGTTGCAAGGTTGCAATGGGGGGGGAGCGGGAGGCTGAGAGGCCCTGCCTGTGCCCAACCCCTCTCTCGCAACCTGGCCACCCAGACATCCACCCTAGTAAGCCTGGAAAAGGCACAAAATCCCCAGAGGCTGAATTGCTGTGCACAACAAGGAAACAAGGGGAGTTGTCACCCTCTCAAAGCGGCCTTTTCTCACACCTTTGATTTTATGGACTCAAAGAAATGTGTTTCATCAAAATAATAAGTGCCTTCTATAACTCATGTCATTCACAGGCCCTGGGCTGGCAGCCACGTTAGTCCTGCTGAGAATGACATGCATCTTTTTAGAATTATATAATTAATCAATACATTCTGGAGCATGCGGAGAATGCCACTCTGCAAAACAGGAGCTGTCCAGAGCACAGCGACAGAGACCAGACTCTCAAAGCTTCTGCACAGCGTCCCCGGGTCCCTCCCTCTTGTTTAACCAGGCACCCCCTTTGTAAAGACAGCCGTGGGCACCGTCAGAAAATCACCTGAGTTTCTTTCCACTGAAGTAAAAATATATGAAATGAAATCCAATCTTCATGAATTTTTACACGCATGCTGCTCAGGGTAGAAATTTGGAGTTGCATTTTCAAGTCTTTTATTCAAATCCCCATCTTTGTTTCCGGTGGAGGAGCCCGGCAGACCAGTGGAAAAGCAAGGTCGCCCCCTGGTGTCCAACGTCCGGATCTTCCGGTGCTGCAAACCTCTGCGAGACTGAATCTGTCACCCAGGTTTTTTGTTAGCAGAATCTGAAAAATGCTGCTGAGATGTTTATGTTATATTCGCTGGGTGCTTTCTCGTGACTTCTCAGCACTTCCTTGTATGCACACAGAGCACATCTTTGCCACATACAGACTGTGGGCAAGCCTGGGCCATTGCCTGACATGATGGGGACACATGGAACATTATATGATTTCCAAGTATTTTGCCCGGAAATCCCTTCTTAAAACAGAAACATGACCTAGAACATGATAATACGGCTCTGATAACACTCATTACAATGCCAGTGAAAAGTTGAAATGTACCAATCTCAAAAGCTCTTGCAAGCAAGTCCTGAATTGGCAGCCTGAGCTCACAGGCAGAGCCCTGTGGTTCTATAAGGTGGAGGCGAAACGGGGTGGCCGGGCTAGTGGTCTCTGACCAGAACTGCAATTTACTTCTTTTTAGCTTGTTGGTGAAGCACCACCAACACAGCTGGACTCTGTTTTCAATCTGATTATGATCGTGGTGAGGTTTCCATATGCTACATTGTCCCACCAGGCATATTCCTCACACACAACCTGCTGAGATTAAAAGGAAATAAATAGATTAACTGAAGCATGAAGGATTTGCCAGAGATAGAAAGAACTATTTCCTGTTGTTAAGCAGGAGAGACAAGTTGCCAAGAAAGTTTGTGAAATCCTCTTCTCAAAACACTTGAAAGGAGGAGCATTTTCCCAGTGGCCTAGGGTTTTAGATTCCATGCTTGCAGGAAGGACTCTGTTCTCCCCAAACCAGGGGCTCCTTGAACTACCGAAAGCAGCCCCAGCAAACACAAGCTGAACTTGCCCCATCCTTTGCTATGGGCAAAGGAGTCAAAGCTGGTGTGCACCCTATGTCCCATGTTAGTTTCTCTGAGGCCTGGAATTTCTTTTTGTGGGGGGCAGTAGCTGGAAATCTTAAGAGGTGATTACTTTTCATAACGTGTGCATTGAGTGTGTGGGCCGCTGGCTGCTGAGTATTGTGCTTTCCCCATGATGTTGCCGGTGCTGTCTTTCAATAAAATTTATATTCATTTTTATCCAACAATGTAATTATCGATCTGTTCTTATCACTGCTCTCACAAGGGGGGAAACAGGAAAAAGCACTTTCATGTTCAAAGAGAGGCCTAGAAAAAAGTCAATGTCCCAGTCATTTGCATGTAATGGTGAGATGCAAATGGAATGTCAGGCAAATAGCGATTTCACATTAAAGAAAACATAATTAGGTGAGCTCGAGCCCCTCTCTGGCTTACATGCCTTTGAAGCACATAAAGACAGTATTTGTTTCAATGAATGTTGTTTAACTTGAAATTTTTAAAGTTAGTCTTCATTTCTGTTTTTAATGAAAAGGAAAAAATGCACCAAAAATGTCTCCATCTGCTTTTTACCTCTTGTTTAGAATTTGGACAAATATATACGTTTCTTGATATTCATAGACATGTAGAAATTTTCCAGCAGGTTACCTACGTAGGTTATTCATAAATTAGACATTTAGGGGACCACAGAAAATGAAATTCTAGGTACCTCTGAGAAGCTTCTGTAACCATGGAGACCATTCCCATAGCTTATAGTGTGAAGGACAAAAAGAACTTTGTCCCCAAATCTGCCCTCATCTTGTCCCTTGCTACTAGATCCACAAACACAAGACTCAAGAGGCTTCCTCAGGAAGAGGCTTATGGTGGACCCTATCTTTCACAGCATATTAAGAAGAAGCCAGAAGAAACAACCCCTCACTTAAGAGAAAAAGAAACTTGACTTATTAGGACAAATCGAAAACATCAACCCCAAGTCTGGAATGGATGACCTCTAACGTCCCTTCCAGTCCAGAGGGTTTGTGATGCTGTGTCTTCGTGAACAGATGCTGGCAGGCGGGAGACCTGGGATCATCATTCGAGGAACATCTGAAGGGCCCTGCTGTGTTAAGAGCCTGCCCTGCAGGCCCCAGCAGCCTGTGCTGCTGGCTTCTCTCTAGCCTGAGGGCAAGGGGCTGGAGAAAACCCAGCAGAGGAACCAGAGGGACGCACCAGACCCTGACAGAATGCTGCTTCTCTCTGATTTTGCAAGAAAAAATAAAGAAAACTAAAAAGTCAGGCAACAGCAGGGATCCCTCACTTGGATATCCACAGGCATCCCAAAGCCCAAAACTTGAACCTAAGTCACTTTTCTCCCCCCAAATTCCCTCCAACTCCTCCTGGCCCCCAGTTCAGTAAATGCACTCCCCTCCCCAGATAGCTAAGTCAGGTTCATGGCACCCGTGAGTGACTCCTTTCCTCTTAGCGGCGAAGTCTGACCCATTCTGGCTGTGTCTTATATCTGACCTATTTTTTCAAACACTTCTCTACTCCATCGCTACAGCCTTTGCTGTAATGCAGATACACAGATGTGCTGTTTCCCATGATGACATGACCCCCACTGACTCAGTTCTCTACAGTTCTCTGTGTGTACACCAGGACCATGACTTGTGTGAAGACAAGATTTCCATTAAGGTCTTTCAGAAGATAC